AAAAAACACATCATAGTAAAACCAATACCTTTTCAGCTTCGCATCGAAGCTAAAATGTTAATTAAAATACTTAAAAATATAATATTAAAAGAATCGACTAGATTGTGTACACTGTACTTTTACTTCAAGTCTTAAAATGTAAATTAAATGTTAAGAATATGAATAAATTCATATTCTTAATTAATGTATAAATTATTAATTTATTATACATAACTTAAATGTAATAAATTTAAATTTATTACATTTATTTATTTTATTACAATACCATTTATCTGTGATGAAAGACAACTGAAGATTTAAATGAATTAAATAAAGTATGCCATGCCTATCTAATGCTATTATTTGCAAAGTATAAAAATCTTAGACCTTTTGTTAAAAACAATAATAGTAGCAACATCAAATACTAGAATAACAATTTTGTTAATAAACATTTAAATATAATTTATTTAATATAGTAATATAATATTAGTGTAAATATATGTTCGTTCAAAAATCTATTTATTAATATATTTTTATCTTTGTATAAGTTTCTAAGCACACAATCTGTAATTTACAACTAATTTCTATTATATTAATATAAAAATATTTAAGAACAATAATTGTATAGTAATTAATTAGGATTTGTAGATTTCAAGTATTTTGCCAAAAGTCTATTACAAACGGTCAGTCGAATACGTAACAACAATAAGCTCATAATTCATCACTTTGAAATCTGATAAATAAATAAATCATTCAAAAACGCTATTCATCAAATACATGAAATAAATCTTTTTATTTTTCAAATAAAAATTTGAATTCAATAAAAATTGACAGGTCATCTGATTAAATAGATGTGCCCATATAATTTATTATAAATAGTAGTTTTTAACAAAGTAAAAATTATTCAGTGCTGTCATTCTCAAATGACAATGGCCAAATTGATTTGTTCCTTACTTTTTATCAGCTTGGCTGTCCAGTAAGTACAATATAATTCTTAATAATTAGTTTAGATGAACTTAAATAAATCATGACATAAGTGTTTAAAATAAAAATCATGTTTTCATTATATTTATTAATTATTTTTATACCTAACATTAATATGATTTGAAGAATTTCAGAGTAAAATTTTATTTTAAAAATCAATTAGTTTCTTTCATTATAAATTAAAATAATTATTTAATAAATAATTACCATTCCTTCTTAATATCAATTATAATAAAATACATATAATATTTCTACCTCTTGTATAAAAATATATCTTAATATATTACCAGCTTTGCTCGTAATATGTTAAAATTGTACAAAAAAAAATGTTTTTATTTTTTATATCTATTAAAATTTATATTATATTTACATTTTATGCAGTATTTAATAATAATGAAGATGTGTTTTTAGTGTATATTTCTAATGTATTAACTCAATTTTTCAAATAAAATCAATTAAACATGAATTTATTTTATTTTAAAATAGCTAATATATATTAGTTTATAGAAATTTAACCAATTTTGTTTAAACATCATTAAATAATCATTTATCATTTTTTAGGTGCTTAATTATTTAAACATATAATATTTATTGAAATAATATATTACAATGAAAACCTAATATAATAACTATATCTCATTTCATAATTAACAAAAAACATTATTTAATTATTTTATACTTATATATATATTAAAAAATTATATAAAAACTTTAAATTTTAAAAAGATAAACATGTACATAGTTTCTAGATGTTTGGAAAGGCTCTAAATTTATATTTAATTTTTAAGGCTGTGTCATGGAACATACTATTGGTCTAAACCAAAAGCTAAGAAGATTGCAGTATCTTCAAGTATCAATACGCTAAATACTTCTACTATTGTAAAGTCATCGTCTAGATCAAACTTTAATGCTTTAGATAAATCGAAAAAACTTGAATACTTGAACTCCAAACTTAACAACCTTGGTGATTGTTCTGGTGAGAACAGTTCAGAATTAAATGAAGGAAGTCAAGAAGAACTTGAATACAGAGATAAACAATCGATGTTTTCATCACATAAACATACCCATAGTCGTACTATGAGAAAAATGTACAGTAGGAGCTTGAGTAAAAAGGTTCAAAGTTCCAAAACTAGTAAAATTGTAAGAAATGGTCTTAAAGTTGGTGTTAACATACGTGCAAACAAAAATGTAATATCAAATCGCCTACTTAATGATAAAATATTATCACATCAATTATCCCTCAAAAAAATTGTTACGCGTCAGTCAGCTAATAATGTAGGAGCCAATCACAAATCAGGAAAAGGAATAAGAAGAACATACCAACAAGTTAGCAGCTTTACAACTGCAGCTAACACAGTGGGAGTTGCTGGTCTCTTTTTGCAATTACCTCAAGGATATGTTGCAAATACTGTGTCAACAACAACAACAAGATTATTAACTGAAGAAGAAGCTTACCGTTTAGGTCTTATCAAAACTCTATCTGTTAACTCAAATGTTGATTTGTCAACACGCAATGTTAGATCAACCACAATTAACAAAAACAATCAGTATTATTTAAATAAAAATGCAGGTTATTACGCACAAGCAAATGGCAGTATCGTAAGAAGCAAAACTCTTAACACAGTTCATAATCAAAATTCTGTTGTGAACCATCGAGGCTATGGTCGTTCAAACTTAATGAGAAACAATGATATAACTGTAAATGAAGAAGTAAATTCTGGTAGCATTAATAACAACGTGGTAGTCAATGAAAATAAATCTAAATTGAATAAAAATGAAAATGTTGATGTAAGTGGAAAAATTGAAACAGCTTCTCAATCTGATTCTCTTAATTTTAATAACATAAACGAAAAAGGTAACGAAGTAAATGTTGAGCAAACTAACGCGAAAATAACTCGTAACGTTGAAAAATCTTCAGAAGAAAGCAGTAGTAAAGAAAATGTTGAGAATAAAATAAAATCTAATGATAGCAAAACTGTAGATCATCAAGTATCTAATACTGAAGTAAAAACTGAACAAAACATTAAACATAACACCAATATGAATGTTCAAAAACACGTGAAATCTACTACTGATTTACGAAGTGTAAAAAAAAATTATAGTAATGAAGAAAACTCAAGTTCTAGTGAATCTAAAGAAGATAGCAGTGAAGAAGATAGTAGTGAAGAAAGTGTAAGTTTGTATGAATATTTGAATACGCATCAGAAATTCAGATTCGATAAAGGTTTAAACACAGTTAAATTAATTAACGAAGTCCTTAATAAGTTGGACTACCAACGATTTTTACTTTATGATGATATTGCATATCCTCAAGATGCCACACGTCGTGTACGTAGTGAAGAATCATTTGATTTCATTATTGTTGGAGGTGGTCAAGCTGGTTGTGTTTTGGCTAATAGATTATCAGAAAATGCTGCTTGGAAAGTACTATTGATTGAAGCAGGTGGTGACGCATATCCTATTACTCAAATACCTGCTTTATGGGACCGATCATACAATACCGATGCTGATTGGCAATATAAACTAGAACCCATTATACATACTGGGTTTGGCATTAATGGCAACATGGTAATACACAAAGGAAAATGCTTGGGAGGAAGCAGTGTACTAACTCCACATGTTTACGTTAGAGGAAGTGAAAAATTATACAATGTTCTTGTAGAAAAGGGTCTCACAGGATGGTCTTTTAACTCAACATTGGATTATTTCAAAAAAATAGAAAGTACCCGTTTTACAACAGCCGCTACAGTTTCTACCTCTACCACAGCTCAAACTGCTACTGTTAAATCTACTACTGCTGCTGCAACTTCTGAAAGTTCTACTACTGCTGCTAGAACTACCACGAAAGCTACCACTGTCACTTCTACAGCCACTGTAAGAAAAGTCGAATATGGGCGAAGTGGTTTACTTCCTATAAGCAGGATTCACCATACTGAATTCAGCTTGTTGGAAAAAGTTATAAGTTCAGGTTTTGAACACATTGGGTGCATTGCTCAAGGAGATATTAACGATGATACTGTTGAAATAGGATATTCATCTCTTAAAGGAATGATTAAGAATGGTAGATCATACAATGTAGCCAAAGCTTATTTAACACCAGCTATAGGACGAAAAAATCTTAAAGTAATGAAATACACAAAAGCAACAAAAATTATCATGAATAAAACTAACACTAGAGCTATTGGAGTACAAGTAGAAACTAGATATGGACAAATTCTATCTCTTTACGCTAAAAATGAAGTATTGGTATCTGCTGGTACTATTGGTTCAGCTAAATTATTATTAATCTCCGGTATTGGTCCAGAAGATCACTTGAAAGAAATGAAAGTACCTGTAGTCAAAAACTTGAAAGTGGGAGAAAATTTCCATCATTCTCCAGTATTTACAGGAGTTGTGTACTCTTATGATAAATCAGTCATGTCTAACTTCACTGATGAAGATGTAGCTTTCAAATATTTATCTAGGAACACTGGGCCATTAGCAATGCCAAAAGGTATGCAAATGGGAGGATTTCTTAACACTAAAGGTGACAACTCTTATGCTGACATTGAAATTCATCAATATTACATACCTAAAAATTCATTTTCTAAACTATGTCGCATAAGATCCATGTACGGATTTAGTGACAGAATAATGACTGCTTACGCTAAATTAAATACCCAAAGAGATATTTCAATTTTCACATTGGCTTTAATCAATCCAAAAAGTAGTGGAAAAATTCTTTTAAGAAGTAATAACCCATGTGATAGTCCTATTATAATCGGTAATACATTAACCAATCCAGATGATTTCAAAAGTATGATGGATGCAATCAAATCGCTATTAAAATTCGAGGATGCTGATGTTATGAAAATGGTTGGAGCTACATTACGCAAATTTGATTTAGAAGGATGCTCATGTTACGACATTGGCTCTGATGATTATTGGAGTTGTTTATTGAAATATTTGATATCTACGACTTCAAGTACATCAGGATCTTGCCAAATGGGATTAGAAACTGATAGTGATGCTGTCGTCGATAGTGAATTAAACGTAATAGGTATAAAAAATTTGAGAGTGATTGGTCAATCAGTTCTACCAGTCAATATCAATGCCTACAGTCAAGCTGGATCTATTTTAATTGCAGAAAGAGCATCTGACTTCATTAAAACCAAATATACTATTAAAACATAATAATTTAAGCATAGTAAAACAATGTAATAAATTCATATTAGAAAATATTCAATAAAATAACGTCTGAAATTATGTTCTACTAAAAACTTTATAAAATACCTCATTAAAAATAAATTTGCATAATTATTCATAGTAAATTTACATAAAATATACAGTAAGTATATTTCATAATTTTCCTTTTAGTCATTTTCCTACAATAAGTATTTGTAATACACAATGTTATTATATTAAGATATCTTAGAATTAACAACTGTAATTTAAGATTGTAGACGTGAACATAGTCATCCAAAAGAAGGGCGTAAAGGTTTTTACACTCTCCTTTTGAAAGTATTTAATTGTTTTAAGCAGTTTTTCAATATATAAAGTTACTACTAATCAAAAAAACTTCATTAAAAATTATTTAGTCGATAAAATAATTTTTCAAACCCAAATTATTAGTTTCTAGATGATCCTTCAATAAAAATTTATTCCATTTTATATACTTACGCCTAAAAAAAAAATCATTTGGACTAGACCTATTAAAACTTAATTATTTCACTGTACCAATGTGAAACAAAAGAATGATTGAGATTCTATTTTATTAATTTATCTTCAATTGAAAATAGTTTTTAAAAACTACTACTTGCGAATTTCCATAAAGTAATCAATATATAAATAAAACACATGAATATTTTAAAATTTAAACATGAAAATATAACTATTTAAAACAATTTTCTACTATATTAAAAATGAAAAATATTTATAATCTCGATGAAAAAATGTGAAAAATGCACTATTACAATTTAGTAAATTTTTGTAAAAAATTTTAAATCTACCTTTTAGTATAGCATGCTTAATGAATAAATTCAATTTAATAAATTATATGTAGACACTATTACGTATATCTGCACTTGTAATTAATTTTATTTAAATTAGCCATTTGTGAATACAACTTCATTTAGATTACATAATAGCTTTTTCTTAAATTTCATAATTTATAATAACAAATGAAGTTATATATTTTGTACCCGTTAATTTTATTTTTTTTTTTTTGACAGTTAACTTAGTTAACTCTAATTAATTTAATTAGCAATGGACAACTCATACAGTCAATAAGTGTACTTATTGACTTAAGATGACACACTCATTTCAGTAAAACACCTTTTGTTCTACACTTTAATTTTTAAATAATAAATTAAGAATAAAGTATATAATACAATGTGCATAATGTTAATAGTTATTCAAAAATAGCTTTGATTTAATCCCCAATTATACCAAAATAATTTTTCTTTTCAATTAATTTATTATTAATGAACATCAAATATTTATTTAATAAAATTAATAGTAATTGTTAAACTGTAATTAAACAGTAAAAAAAAAAAAGAAAACAATTTTTTTTTTAATGCTGTATAATAATACAATATAATTATTATAACCCTTAATAAACGTAAAAACTTGATTACAACAATCCACAAAATTATACTATAGTTTAAAAACTTACTAAAAATGCTTTTATAAAATATAAAATGTTACATAAACTAATTTACATTAGAAACGTAAAAATATTACAAACTTACAAGTCTAGAAAACTTAAAGTCTAATAATAAATGTTTGAGTGGTTAAAAATATTAAAATTCCAATTAATTTTTATTATCATATAAATATTTCTAATACTTATCATGTCAATAAAGAAAATACCGCGTCCTAATAGGTTAAATGATTGTATAACAGTAACAGCCTTGTTAAATCATACAAAATATCTATGTATAACAAGAATAAGAATAACTATCATTAAATGATGTTTTTAAGAAACTATTAAACAAATTAAGGAGCTTTATAGAAGCTTAAAAGTTTAAATTAAAGAGAAATAGTGCACTTGTTAACGAAATAGAGCTTGAAGTGACTAATTACAAAAGTTAAATCGATGATAATATTAAAGGTGTTTCTTCTCATTTAACACATTAAAGGATTAAATATTTATCTATACAAACTTTACACTCTATTTCAAGACCATTACATATTAGAAATCGATCTTCCAATAAAAGGAATTAATAATTATAATAAACGCTCTACAAAACAAAACGAAATTTGATTAACGACAAATCTTAATTTTAAACAATTTTATTGCCAATGGATGTCACGAGAAACACTTTAATAGTCTCTAAGGAAATAAAAGTAAAGGTTTTTTACAATCATAGTTAAGCAATGGTGTTGCGTGCATAATTACACCATCCATACCCTAGCATTTTATGATACAATATTAAAAATTTTTGGAACTAATTTATTGTTGTGTTTACGTATAATTGACAATAAAACGAAATTGACAACACGACTATAAATAGTGACACTACAAAAGAAGAATCAAAACAATTTCGTACATAAATAATGTTGAAATTAACATTTTAAATTTCTACTCGCCTAGTACTTTTTGTTTTATTTTTCTTAAATCTAATGAGATATAATTAATGTTTTGCTAATATAAAAGATAGTCGGAGAAAGAGATAGTACTGAAAAGTCTATTTAGTCCATTTATCAAGTCTATCTGTCGCGATCAGGTCGTTTTGAGTCAAAATGCGACTAACATCCGGTTTGCACAAGAAGCTTGGAGAATCTCCAGACCCTAGTCCACGACATTGATCCAGTTGTTATTACTGGATGATCTCGCAAAGCGCACTGCCATTTGGCTTGAATTGTCTGAGCAGGCTGTTGAACAGTATGTGTTGGCGTTGGGTGTACGCTGGGCAAACGAGCTGGTGATGCTGTCGAATTTGAAATGGCAGGTTTTTGTGGTGATGCTGCGGGTGAGGTCATTTTATATCTGCAAAATAAATATATTACACTCAATTTAATATGCCCAAAGAATTTATTTGAAAAAAAAATTGTCTCTTATTACTATGACGTGCGACAACAAAAGACTATTTATTACCGACCGTCAAAAAGTAATTAAAAAAATCAAATAGGATCTTTTAAACAGTATTTCTTGAAAAAAACTACTAATTTTTTCATAAATATAAACATCAAACAGTAGCACATTTACCTATGGCTTAAACTTCAATTACCTAAACATTATAGTAATTACAATAATGTGTTTAATGAGCTCAAACTTTTTGCGTAATATTAAACGATCTACGCTATTACTATTATTATAATAATTTAGAATAAAAATTATGTTATTTACTGCAAATAGCTTGACGTTATCTTCTGTTGACTATGTAATTTATTAATAAAAAACGAAAATTTTATTATGGACAAATACTAATATACTAATAAAAAACATATTTATTGAAAAAAATATATGAAACAACTATTAAATTATTATATTTTTATGCATGAATAACTAATTAAGATTGACACTTATTTTTAAAATGCATTAATGATTATTATACAAATTAATAAAGTAAGAGCTTTTTGTGATATTCGCGTGATGGATCATTTTTATTATTATAACTATTTACCATTTTGTAAATCAATAATCATTTGAAATATTCTTGTTTTATTTTTCTACATTTTTTATTACACTTTTTAAGATCTCAAGTTAGTTTAAAAAATGTTACTTTTATTAACACTATAATAACTTTAAGTTTTATGAATTAAAATACAACCTAAATAAATTAGTTAAAAGTATCTTATATAGTTAATATAAATTTTGTTTTATTCATAGAAATGTTTATTATATTTTTTACATCATAATTATTTTTATTTATAGTAATACATTTATAAGCAGCTATTAAACAATTTTTAAGGAGATAATTTATTGGTTCACTGAAAAATATGTATTAGCACTAAATCGTGAGAAAAATAATTACTTACTACCTTAGATGTCATTTTCATTTTCAAATCATTAATTAAATCAATCTCTACCTAGACTTTGACGGATAACTTTTTACATGTATTTATGTATTATAGTATATATTAAGTGAATTGTATGAAAATTTCAGGTGTTACATTATAAATGAATAATAATCGTCATAAAAGATTTTTGATGGATATGATCATTTGTTTGTCGTAATTATGACAATTCGCTTGAATACTCGTTTTTTTCTCATAGAAAATTTATTCAAATAAGCCAACTCTTAATGAAAGGTATATTTTGTTACAATTCTTTAGCTTAAAAATTTATTTCCTCATGAAGTAACTTATTACTTTCTTTTATATACTGTACACGCAAAATAAAATAGAGCTTCATTATATAATTTAATGGTTTTGGTCTGGTTTATGGTAATTCTGATATAGAAAACCAATCAGATAAGATTTGAACCTTTTACCTATTATTTATACAGAGTGAACACTTATTTAGGTTTTACATTTTTCTTATAAAACAATCGATAAAGCTGTTATACAAATCTATAAAACAATTTTTTTAAATATTTAAATTACTATATTTAAATAAAATCTAATTCACGAATGCAACAAATTTTTTACTCGTTAAACAATAGTTCTCAATAACAGAAATAAGTGAATAAAAGTTGATTTACAACACTACTTTATTGCTATTGACTTGTTTTCGATGTCGCAGAATTTGTTTGTAAAATACTCAATATACTTTGATATAATTAAAAATCAATAATTTCTTAATCTTATGTGTCTGATAACACACTAATGTCATTGACCCCAGTGTTCTTTTCAATAAATTACGTTTGCATGTGACTGCCACTGTCATGAGTGTTAACGATACGCAAGTTCACCAAAGGTCGACAAGACAACGAACACACTAAAATTAAATAACTCACTACACTAAAGTAAGTTAATATTGTAGTTGTTGAATACAGTTTCAACTATTGACAATATTTTGGTTTTATTAAATAAATTTGAATTATTATTAATCAAGTTTTCATGCTATTTAAAAAAAGCTTTAATCTATAACAAATCTTTTTTTTTTTTTTTAATTGGACTTAATAACTTGAAATTTAAAATATAATATTTATTTTAAATTAAAAATTATTTGTCTTGTATTACATTAATTGTGAAATTACTGAAAATGTACTAATACTTCGTTAGAAATTAGGTAAGTGTCATTAATCATGAGTTAAAATTTGTCGTTAGTCAAATATCTAACTTTAGGTAACAAATAAGAAGTTTCAAAATCGACATTTTAAGATACTTGCATAATAAACAAACAATAGAACATATGCCTTAATCAATACTTGCTCTCAATGATAAGTATGCTCTTGTGCTTACTCAGCAAGATTTATTAGTTAGTATAATCAAATAGTACTCAATTATTTACCATATAATTTAGATGTCGAGTACATAAAACATGTTCTACAAAAAAAAACCCCAGCACAGTGGAGACGTGGCATAGTTGGGTCCAGTATAGATTTAATCTGACAGTAATTAAAATCAATATCAATTATATAATATATAATTTTTTAATTATACAGGGTGGCCCACCACTCACTGACAACTTAAATAACTTTTGATCCAGTTAATATTTTTAGTTGATTTTTTTTTTAATATTAGTTAGATGTTAGGTCTATAGCTATATCTCAATAATTAATTTTTTTACATTTTATTAAAAATATTAATTATTTTTAAATTTTAAATAAAATGTAAAAAAAAAATCTAAGATAGCTATTTTGTAGAGTAGAATTTAAGAAAAATTTTAGTAAAAAAATATCTTATTAATATTCAGTAGTAAATATTCTGTAGCGTTTTGAAGTTTGTAAAAATTTGAATTTTCATGTATTATTTTACGGTATTAAACATTGAAATACGTATTGAGAAAAGGACAGAAGAAAACGCTATCTTTTCATGATTACTGTGTATACATATGATGATAATGTGTATACATTACAAACTTGGCATTAATACCATGATAAGAAATTAGATAAGGCAATTATTACTTATCACTCTCATTCAAAAGTATATTGAAAAGATAGCGTTTTCTTCTGTCCTTTTCTCAATACGTATTTCAATGTTTAATACCGTAAAATAATACATGAAAATTCAAATTTTCACAAACTTCGAAACGCTACAGAATATTTACTACTGAATATTAATAAGATATTTTTTTACTAAAATTTTTTTTAAATTCTACTCTACAAAATAGCTATCTTAGATTTTTTTTTACATTTTATTTAAAATTTAAAAATAATTAATATTTTTAATAAAATGTTAAAGAATTAATTATTGAGATATAGCTATAGACCTAACGTATAACTATTATTTAAAAAAAAAATCAACTAAAAATATTAACTGGATCAAAAGTTATTTAAGTTGTCAGTGAGTGGTATATTATACACAGAGTGGCCACCCTGTATATTATATAATTTTTATAATTATGTGATTTCAAATTATTATTGATTTTGATTATTAATATGTTAGAAGTAATCATTTTTAACCTATTTTTTTTTTGTCCTTTGAAATAAAAATAAAAAATGAATTTATAACCATAACTTTTAGCTCAACTTGCAAGTTTGAAATTGACATCATTAAGTAGTAAAAATTGGTATTATTAAGATTAATATGGAGTCTGTAAATTATATAATTACTATTTACAGTAAATTTATCAGAAAAGCTTGATTTTTTTTTTACTCTTTTATCCTAATAGGTAACTTAAATAGAAATCATAGTAATCATTTTTAATTAACTTTTGGTGTTAAAATAGATTCTAAAATTGAAATATTCAGAAATGAATTAATTTTAATGATTTACTTTAGCTAAAAATCTAATAAAAAAAAATTATTAAAAAGATCTACTCAATTGAGTGTATTATAAATTTTGATTATAATTGTAAAAATCCATTGTTAAATTGAAGTGAAACTAAAAATCATTCTTTTTTTAGATTTATGATTTATATAACATGTTACAAAAAAATTTGGAGTGCTATAGACTGTTAGTCGCACACAAAAATAGAATTAAAAAATTAACAAATTACAAAGTAAAATTATTTACTTTTGAAGTTGAATACTTTTATTATGTCAGATCTAATTCGACAATAAATACTTTAAAAATATTAGGAATGAATGATTGTAATTATTTGTATGGATAAAACTGTTTCAGCTATTTTTCATTTGATTAAGGGATTTTTTTCTATTTTTGAGGGTAATATCTTCAACGAAACACGCATTGTAATCATTTGACATATCGTTGAAAAAGTAGGTTAAGTGAGGATTGGAAAAATAAATCGCAGCCATAAAAAAAACATAGTCAAATAATATTAATATGAATAAGAATTATCTTTTAATGAGGGGAATCGACAGTGATAAGATCCTTGATACTTATAGAAGTTAAAGAATCTAAATGAGATAAAAATCAAATGATTTGAACATTTTTTCTAACTTAAAAAATACAAAATATTCATTGCCACAGGCGGATTCAAACCTAAGCGTAAAAGACAGAAGTGTTACTGATTCGACAACTGTCCGTCGCTTTCGTCAGGTGATAAAATTGGCAATTTAAGCTGATTCAAATTACTTTTTCGTCTAAAAAAAATTTAAATAAGTTTAACTTCTTTTATACTATGAAAATCAGTGTATTTCCCTTGTAAGATATTAATAAAATAAAATAAAATACAAAATACAGAATTTTAACACAAAAATAGCATATTATTGAATACAGTAGGCAGTTTCACCAAGACGAAAATCTATATTGCGATTTTTTTTTTTTCATTTTATAGTACATAACATAAGTTTTACTTTGATATATGTTTAAGGGATGCAGTATTTCCAGAACTATTTCAAAATTTATGTTAAATAAACTATTTTCGTAAAAAACTTGCTATTTTAAACCCCTCCCTTAGAGCATGTTAAATGTTAGATCTTCAAAAAACTGACATCAAATAAAAGGTAAATATCTAAGGTTTCAATATAAAAAAAAATTATGTTGAAATATTCATTTTTGAAAAAGTTATGGAAGATTTAAGAAAAATATTTAAAAAAAACATAAAAAATTACTGATTTTTAAAATTGTAATGTTTTTGAAGATTTCCCCCATTTACGGAGAACGAGGAAAATATTTTCATTTTTCAAGGGTAATTTCTTCAGCTAGATACAATTTGTGATCTTTTGACATATTGTTCATCAAAATCGGTTCAGAGAGAGGTGGGAAAAAGTGGCAACAAACACAAAAAAAAACACATCATGGTAAAATTAATACCTTCTCAGCTTCGCATCAAAGCTAAAATATGTCACTTCCGAATCTCCTTCTGTTGATAATAGATCGTTATTTCCTTTTTTAATGCTTTATTCAGTAAACTAATGTTAAAGTACTTTTAGAGTAAAACTATTTTTCATTTTTAGCTAAACACCAGAAATACTTCACATGCATATAAATGGGATATAAATTGTTAGACTTTTGAATTACTGTATTATAAAATTATAATAAATTAGTATATATATATATAATATTATTAAAACATTTTCGAATAAAATTTGCCTATTTCATTTTTTATTAAATTAAAAATACTAAGATTCAAATTGATTTTGACATTTTTTTTTTTTAATAAATTCATTGGAATTTTTCGTAATAATTTATTGCCTGAAAACATTAAAATAGTGTTATTCTAATGCTTGGCCGAATAGTTCATTGAAATTACCTTTGTTACGAAATTTCTTAATTAATATGATGTACCCTTTTTGGTTTTGTAAAACCATACAATTAACTAATAACAATAGAGCTCCAGTAATTTCCATAATACTCATCAAGATTTCACTCTTAATACATCTCATATCCATACAAAATGAATAATTTGCTTTAGTTTACTGTAGAACTTTTCAATTAAACACTTTATTGTTTAATTTATGTGATTATAATGCTATAAATATTTCGATCATTTCAAGTAGTTTCAAGCATTTTAAAATTACATATTTTTATTAAATATTTATAAGTCTTCATTATATAGAAACATTTATTATAAAGTAACTTTAGCACTTTAGGATTTTCACTCTAACCACTTATGTAGATATCCAATAAAAAAACAAGTAAAAAAGTTATAAAATCGTTTAAAGTTTTATCCTAAAACTGTTACTTTTGTCTTAAATAATAAAAGCCTAGTTAAAGCAGTAAAATCTCTTGAAATATAGCCAAAAGTTTTTACGTTCGTAGGTTTTATACAAAAAACCCGCTTTTGCTGTACTATAGATCAAAATATTTGTAAATACTAGTTGTAAACGCTTAAGAACATTTTAACTGACATGACAAGGCAGATTACATTTGCAGCACATCTCTCATTTTTTAATACCACTTGAAATTCATTTTCGGGACACAGACATTATTGACAGAAGACGGAGTTGAATTATTTTACAACCACACACATTTAATGTTTACATTTCTTATTTACATGTTATTATCTCATTTGTATTATCACGCCAGGCACGTGAACATTATTTTCTAGAGAATGGGTTGTATGTACAATGTACAAAGTAAACACTGTATGGTACACATCAGTAATAACAATAAACTCGTATTATCTTTCCATGCGCTATTATTCATTACACCATAAACAATGATCCACTTATACGCCTTAATTTTACCAATACAGCTTAAACGACGTCTGGTACTGTTATTAAAATATTATACTATTTATGAGCCGACCCGGGCTTGATGCCAATATTAAAGGGACAGTAGTTTTCGGTAGATTAGACTGTTTTTTAAATGGAATTACAGTGCATCCAATCCGTAATTATTTTTTTAAAATAATCTTAAGGCTGTTGACCTTAAGTCCAGAATTGTTTAGGTGAGCTTGGCAATGATTCAGAAGATTAAGAAGTGTCGCAAAATCCTTCCTGCCAGAAATAACCATCTCTGGAACCCAAGGAAAAATTATACGATCAGTCATTATTATTAATTTTCTCATCATTGCCATCTGTTAAAGATATTTCAAATTAAGAAATATATCTGTTTATGTCATTATTATTTATATTAAATAAATAAGAAGTTCATAAACAGATATTTTCAATTTGTTAATGTTTTTGAAAGGAAATATAAACATTAACATAATTATTTGTCCAATTAATATTAGAACCATTATTTTTTTCCTTTTTTTGGTGGATAATGAACCACATCATTAATGAGGTCAAATCAAACAAGTATAAAGCAATATCACATTAACGACGTAAGTTCCTTTGAGAGCAAACGCCTATTTATCTCCGACATTAAATTTATAAAGGACCATGCTTAAGTTATCTAATACTAAAATGCTTTACCGAGTAAATCACCATAGTTTCCTACATTTTCGCAGTAATGGCGAAGTGAAATAATCCATTAACACAAGCTGCAGAAAAATCTAACAGAGTAAATCACTGAGTGTCTAACGTACTGGAATATACTTGTTGAAGAATATTATATAAAGAGAGCGAGGACAAAATTAAAACGCTTTGAAACAAGATAAAATCAAACTTGAAGTTTGACACGTCAGCTTTATGTACAATGTAAAATTTTCTTTCGTGGAAAATAATTCATAAAAAAAGGGAAACGTGAATATTTCCGGCTAATGTTACGCAATATCACTTAATATTAACTTTTAAGTGGATGCGCTGAAAGCTTATAAAAAAATCTATGTGAAAACATAGTCTATTAAAAGTCTATCAACGCTATATTGGCTGAAATGATGAGTTGTTACTATGGAAACAGCAATTACTATAATGTTATTGCCAACTTTTATCGACTGAAATAATGATCATTGCATTTTAGTCATAATACTCCAATAGCCTACTATTTTATCCACGATCATGAGCTTATTCATATTTTCAATAGTTCCAATTACATCGCATACAAGTGAAAACAAAGTTATGCATATCTATCAGATTTTAACTGCCTTATTAAAAATGTCTAAACCATACCACTCTAATTTTAATTATCAACCATAAAGTTTAAACATTTTGTTTCTGTACTGATATTAAATATTAATCTTCAAAGTTTGTTATTAACCACAAAATTCAATATCATTTAACTACACTGATGAAACCACGAATTCTTACCAAAGAAAGTTTGTGTTTTTGTTCTCAAAATATTAAAACCTGATTTTAAAAAAATTATTATCGCATTAAATGTGTTAATAGTTAATGTATTCGTTGAGTAATCAAGTAATTTAAAACAAACAAAAACATTCACATATAACACGGTGGCATATCTCTCCCAAACTTGTAAAACGGGTTTTCTGTAAAGATTTGATAATAATTAACAGTAAATGCAATAATAGCCTGTAACAACATAACCTACTCTAACTCGATATCTATTGAAATTGTGAAAATTACATTAACATCTAAGTCACATCACTGGAATTAACATATTTTTTATGCAATACTATCATTTAGATTTGCTCAATGACCTTGTATTATGAAGTAAATTGTCAGGCTCGAAACTAATTTGTTTAAAAGTCTTCAAAGTTGTGCCATGATGTATTTTAAGAACACGTGATTTATTCAAATAAACTAATCGTTTAAACAACCGGCGTTGGTTCCTCCAAACTCGGCATACGTTTCCAAAAAATATCCACGTGCACCCTACTCTCTCAATAATTGTTCAGTATTAACAAAGAGACATATCATATATAGCAAGAAAATGTACCGGCTGAGTAAGAAATATTTGTTGGTCCGTTTTTGTTTGTCTATCGCTGTTTTGTACCAATTAGTATCGCTCGTTACCCGACACTTGTTTCCAGGTATTTTTTTACCCATCACTGTCACACAATACATACATTCAATTACACTAAAGTAACGTGTAAAAAGAAATATTTAACTGTGATAAAAAAAACCATAGGCACGTTAAATACTTTTTCATAATAATTCCATACATTATGAATTTTCGGCTTTCTCATTATCCGATAATACTACACGATACCGACTCCACCACGTATAACACTAAAATGTGGAACAAGGTGACACCCTAAACGTATTACTAAAAATAAAGAAAACATTATTCAATATTTTAAATACAACCTTATACGGCGCGTTAAGTAAGAAATTCGATACAAAACAAAAAAATGTACAATCGAGGCATACCTATTCGGTGTTAATACAAAAATGTATACGCATAATAGCCGTGGAGGCCGCCGCGTGGTAAAATGGACATTTCTTTGTGTGGTGTGCACTGCAGTACCAGTGTAAATTTTACGGCTAACTGCTAACCCCAAGGTTCGGGGAGAAACATTTTCATAGTTGTAAAATTTGTTTCCGACGCAATCTGCTTACAGATTGCTCATGAATGAACGGTAAAAAACATCCGCAAGCAACACGCTAATAGAATACATAAACAACAACTATACTTTTACATTGGGATTGGGGATATACAACTATAATGGGGTTTTGGTAGATTTCACGATATTCATCGCATACTTCAAACACAGGGAAATATTTCAAACAGTCGATTCGACTTACATTAATGATCGAAAGCTTATTAAATTGGATTTATACAAAACTGCGATATCAAAACAAAAGTTCAACGATTCCACGTAGGTTAGGTATATGTACTATTGTACAAAATGAAATCTACAATATTATTATTGTAAGCTGCAATATGACTGTTGACATTTAATGTTAAATAGTTGAATACGCTTTAATCTGTATAATTTAATAATGAACGAAAAATATTGACCGCGAAATGTCATGCAAACAAATACATTAAGATTATTTTTAACGATAAACACGAACCAAAATACTCTCGAGGTAGTGAATATAGTCACCAATTCTGAACGATTACAACGAGTTTGGGTCACATTAACGCACATAGGGTTTTTTTCTTGCACGAATCGAAAACGCAGAGTAGCAAATTTACCACTTATTCCGCATCGTATTAAAAAATGTATAACAGTTTTCAATTTCTCGTTTATATTGTTCTAGAATTTCGATGTGAAAATTGACCGTTACTGCTAATATTATGCGCGTGAATTATTTGGTTTAACATTGCGCTAGAATAATTTTACTGTCGAATGTGTGTTTACATATTTTATTCATTAGATCTGCTGAGTCGATATTATAACAGTGTTCCAGTTGTGCTGTTCGTACTGAAAAAAAAAACAAAACTATCGGAGCCGACCGGAAGGTTGCTTTGCAAAATAAGCTTCGCCGGCCCATCGATTTTCACCTTCTTTCCCGTTTTTGTTTTATAAACAGTGAAAATATTGCAAAATGTTCGCGCACGCTAAACCTATTCAAAAACGGTTCCTCGGTCGAGTGCTTTGCCACCGTAGGGATAACGCATTTGGTTTAACGCAGACTTGATGTCGGAATTACAATAATTTATGTACATTTCATGTGACAATATCCGGTACAGTATCGAACGAAAAAACCGTTGCCATGTATTTAAAAGCGGATCAATGATAAAATATACATAAAAAGAAAACGACTTAGCGCCCCGTCGACCGTAATACTTATTAATGAAGACGGGCAACGGCGTAAACAACTTCCGAACGACGTCAGCGAAATACTATAGGAAATGGCGCCGGAAACGGTCGCTTAAGCGACTAAACGATTGCACGAACAGGAACTTACAAGTTACGGAGTCACTAGCGAGTTGCTTACGTCAAAGCTTTAAACGTCCGAAAACTGGACCTCGGACTCTATTTTTTATAGTCGTTGCAATAGTCACGCGAATTGGCCGTCCGACTAAGAAAACTACTATTTTCCGCCAGAAATATTCAACTTGAAATCAAACAATTCAGCGGAAAATAGTTCAAATGTTCACACCGTCACTTTAAATACTATTTCATAATTGTACAACTTACTCTTTTGTGTGTTATTCCTTTTGGTGAGCCGCCGCGGTCTCTGTTCTCTGGCAGCTAAACAGTGTAAACGTAACAGCGTACAAACACCGACAGTGGCCGACAGTAGAATGAACGGGCGACAGCAGCGGTACCAGCAGATAGTGCGAGTGGAAATTTACACAACTTTATGCGCGCGCTGGGAGTCAGCTGCGATGATGTCGTTTATAGAATGAAATCCATCAACGCTTTCATCGGCGATATCTAAATAAAGTACGATATTTTTAACGCTAAAATACGTCTTCTTTTTCACATCGCACCTATTATTAATAATAATAAAAGTACTACGGTAGAAACTATATATTTTTTTAATTAAACACAAATGGCACTTGTGCACAATGAAGTATTTAGTATAACTTGATTTGTTCGATAATACTTTTGACACCTACGCACACATTTCATAATAATAATTGGATAATTATATCCAATGACTGTAATTTACAACATTTAAAAATAGCATTTCGTCTACCTAAGTTAAGTCGAACGAAGAGGGTTGCATGCGCGTGCACCGGGTGCTTTAGAAAATGTTCCTCACTTCGACCACTACCTTCGGTGTGTGTGACCCAATTCTCTGAGTGAGCGAAGCGCGCGCGTATATCCTCATCATCGATCGGTCTCCGTTTCTTGAACCCATGACGGCATCACCGGCGCCGACAATAACAAACGAGTAAACTATCACAGCTGACCGTTTAATTTGCTACAAAAACAAACTATAAACTGGAAACATTACATTAATGCAAAAATAATTTACATCAACTCGACAAAAAGTCATTCAAAATCATTGAATGATCGAAAAATTCAAAGGTGAAAGTAAATAAGTGCAGTACTTCTGAAAGATTGCTTAAAAGTTTTTTTGTAAACTTTAAATATTACTCATAAACAATAATCTCCAGTAAAACTGTTTTTTTTTTTTAATAATATTTATATACGTATTATACATATTTTGCTTAAGCATAATTATAGTACTCAAAAATATCAAAAGACAATTATTTTTATGCAACTATAAAGTTGATAAAACTTATATTAGGATTAGTTGACATTTGTTTAAGCTCCAATGCGTGATTCACTATGCATAATGGTATGTTGGTATGTATCACACAACATGCCAACATAAACCCATTGTTTAACAAGACTATGCAGTATTTCAATAAATAAATATTGGTTACATTTACTGTCAATTACAATACTATTAAAATAAACAGTTTTGTACATTGTACGAGAGTAATTGATATAATACCGTATATAGTTGAGCTAGGAATCGAATAAAGTGTAAGTTAAAGTTGTGCTGATGAATATTATTGACCTATTTTGCAATACAACTGCGTAACGATAGTATTTTGATGCATCATTTATACATAACAACCTATCTTGAACTTCATTGTAGTGAGAATGGGAAAACCTGTATAGTACAGCACAACGCAATCGAACCTAAGTAGCTAGTACCAAAGTACTTCTCGCCTCGTTGAGCTAATTCGGTAGTCATGGAAGAAGTGTGTCTAAATAGAATTAAGTTTCAAAAGTTCAAAATTAAATAATTATAATTTATTTTACTACTACATTTTTTTATTTACCGTCTGTATATACAAAACTTAAAAATACAAATTTTCTCTTCTACTCAAAAATATCACCTTGAATATAACCAATATACCTTCATGGTTTTATAATAGTTTAGCGAGGTATAAATTAAACTCGTTCTTAGACTTTTTCAAGTTTCTCAATTCAAAGCTCGTAAATACAAATTTGACCAGATTGTGAAATGTTTTTGCTATCAAAAAGCATTGATAGTAAGCTAAAGTTGAAACGTTTTATTTTTCCATCTAAGACAATAATAATAATGTAATCCATTCGCGCATTGTACTCTCATCATGTCCTAATATGTCTCAAGTAAATAAAAACCCCAAGAAAACGATAAATAAACGACTTAGTGGACCGGTAAATCGACTACAGAATTTGTAAGTTTAGCACGTTCGGAACATATCAACAACAAAAACCTTAACGTGTAACGATAATTATAGCCACCCTCTGGTTAACGATGAATATTATTAAATAAGGTTCAGTCATATGTTGTATAACACTGTCGTATCAACTAAGAAAACTGAATTACCTTATGCGCTTTAAAAAGATCCTTACAGGCCTAATAGTTAATTTAGTATCTTTGTTTTTTTTTAAATAACGCAATGGAAAAACTGCAAATGGAGGTAAATGACGTTTACACATGTCAGATGGTACTAAATTGAAGTTGTGATAAAGGCTCACGAATTTATGTTTATATAGTCTACTTGCCTGCAGTTTCTATTGACAGCTGTCGTTAAAACATATACAAGTTCGTATTGTGTATAAATACGGTCTCTGGTAAACACAAATGTGGCAATGAATATGGACGGTTTTCAATAAATAATTTTGTAATAGCATATGTAGGTATGTTTGCTTGCGGCTATTACTTCCAGGGTGATGCATGACCGGTGATTTTTTAAAACAAATGACACACAATAATGTTGTGTAAGCAATTGGTAAAGTTGTTAATTTGTATATTTCAAGATTTTAACGCCAGTTCTTATTAATACAACACAAAGTGACTAATTAAAATCAAAATTAACGTTTCACGAGGTAAAACCAAACGTCCAAAACGATCGATTGGAAATGTTAATTGAATTGCAAAAACGATAAAATTTTCAAATGGTTTTGACATCGCGATATATTATTTGAATTAGCTGAGTCACATGTGCAACACAACATGGATTTAAATTGTCCCCTTTCTCGCGCCTACTTTTTTATGCTTATCGAGGAGGTATCTATCGGTAACGACCATTAAACTTTTTTTTTTAGTTTTTTTGTCTCTGGCGTCTAAATAAAATTGGTAAAAGTTTCAAATATTAAAATACTTGTGCTTGTGTAAGATACAACTCATGGATTTGTAGAAACCCAAATTATACGTTAAAAAAATAAAATATATTTGTAAACAAACGTCCAATGGGTTGACTAACTTTTGTAAAAGTATTTCAAATTATATTACAGTAACATAACAAAAATCTAAAGCGTACATATTTAATAACATTGTAAAAGCTATTTTTATTTTTTAAATTACTCAGTACATTTCAGTAAAATAAAATAAGCTTTAAAAGTATGGTATATGACACATTTTTATGGTTATTGTAATGTAAATACACTTATTCACCATTGATTCAAATTATAATCTGTTCGAGTGAAATAAAAAAAGTGTTGTATTATACGATTAATATACTATTTTATGTACATCTTTTTATTTTATTCAATATGTTGTGAGGTAATTATCATTGAGATTAAATTCAAAGGAGAAAAAAAGAACATCCAACTCTAGTGATTTACGTCAAAAATTAAATAATAAGCTTTCAACCATTTTTAATTAAAAACTGAATAATACAAAATACAAATGGAAAGTCTAGTACCATCAAGTTACTGAAAAAAAAGGTTTATCTTTATAATATAAGCACTGACGAAATTATGGAGAGATATGACACTCATATCCCCTATGACAAAAATAATTATGTGGTGAAGTTATAATTTTTTTTTAGGAGGAGGAAATGAAAATTATTATTATGTATATTCCCTTAAAACAATTCCATAAAGGCAAATAGTAGTACTACTTATAAGCAGTAAAAAAATGTAGAACTTTAGCAATACAAAACTTACAAGTAAAAAACGAATTTTACCAACAAAAAATGTATTTAATAATTACTTAATATTATAAAAAGTCTATGTTTTAATTTTTAAAATAAGAAATGGTATAAAACATAACACTTAAAATAAAAAAACGTTTAAAAAAAATTGAAACATACTATGCATAATAGTTTTAATATTAAATTAATGTGCTCTTGAAAGAAAATCAATAGCATTGGACAAATAACAAAACATTTTACAATTTTACATTTTATAATTGAAAGACCAAAGAACTTAAAATGTAATATCTACAATAATTAATACTTAACTGAATTAAGTAACATATAATCTACTAAAGTTTTGTTCAATTTTTGTTTGTTTTTTAAATAAATAAATTTTATTTTGAAAGTAAAATTAATTAAACTACTAAAAAAATAATCATAAAATGTAACTAATAGCCTAAAATATCGAAATTGTTTTTTGTAAGATAATTAAAAAATAAAGACATTTAATAATTATAAATTAAAACAATAATATAATAAATGTAATTTTCATTTTTACTGTTTAAAAAATAGTTACTTAAATATTATTACTATTATATTTAAAAATTATAGTACAATTAAAGTATTTGAAATTTAAAGTAAAAAATTACTACATAAAAATAATAAACGTGAAGTGTTTATTATAATACTATAGATAGCAATTTTGAAAAATAATGTTAAAAAAAAATTGCTGTCTGGGTAGTTACTATTGTAACATTTTACTATAGTAAAATGTTAACTGATAAGTAGTAATTTCCACACAAATTGTATAAAAAATAGTCGCATTAGGCTTTATTATAATTATACTAAATTTTATTTATTTCAATAATTGTGACATATTCAAATATTATTTGTTACAACACACAAAATACGAAATTAAAAAATTATATTCAATTGATTATATCTATTATATATATATATATATATATTGATTTTTTCTTATATAATTTGTCTGTAAAGGACTCAAAAGTAATCATTATAAATTTGTAGTTACTTAAACTTTTATATAAACCTTCAATTTAAGTTTATGTAATATACTTCAATTTGAAAAAAAATATTTTGACCTCTTGACATGTCTTTGTGGTAAAAATAGATATTAAAGTTAAATAAAAAAATATGATTTATGTGAAAAAATTTCTACTTAATGATGTGTATTTCAAAATTGAAAGTTGAGCTAAAACAAAGTTATGGTATACATTTTAATCTTTTTATTATAAACTTTCGTAAAAATCTTTTACTCTATAGGACCAAAAAAATTAAGTTGAATATGACATTTTACACGGATTATTTTTAACATACTAAAAATCAAAATCAATAATAATTTGAAAAAAAATTGTTTCGTTTCTAATAATTTTTTTATATGTAAATACACAATTTTTAATGATTAGTCATAATCTCAAAAAAGAAGTAATAGAAAAAATCTAATTTAAAATTTAAAATCGCCAAAAAATGAGGTAATATTTTGATACTATTATTGATAAATAATAAGTCAAATAATCAATTATTAAATAATAAAGACAATTTTCTAGAAAAAAACTCTTTTAAATTCTCTAAAATGGTAAATTTTTTAAATTTTTATTTTATTCACCTATAACTTTTATAAATTGGTTATATTCGACGAAATATTTCATTTGTAAGTGACAGATTACATTTTGATGCATAGCTAGAAAATATTTGGTTTTACTATGATATAAAAATTTAAATCGATATTAATAACTTTGGTTTTCAATTAAGATAATTGAGAGTTTTCAGTCGTAGGTAATTTTAATGTTCAATGTTTCAAAAAATTTATTTGACATAAGTTGAAGAAAATTATGTCAAATTAAAGGTAATACAATACATATTAAGATAATAAAAGAAAATATAGAAAGTATACCATATTTTATGTGATCCTCAAACTGATTTAAAAACTAATAAATATTTCTTTAACTTACTCAAGTTAATAATTTTCTTAATTTTAACTTTTGTCTTAAAATTTAAATTTACAATTTGTTAAATTTTAATTTTTAATTTATCGGCATTGTTCCTTGTTAACTTATAACAGACACAAATAATATTGATTGGCAAAAAAAATCACCTACTTTTGTTGAAATAATAATGCCTAAACTTAATATTGACTCGAAATTTGACAATATCAAATTGAAATTTATATAACTTATAGAAATAAAAAACAAATAATTCTTTAAAGTGCAAACTACGTCAACATGATTTTGTAGCCCTACCCTTAAGCCTTACCCTAAAGTACCTTTTTAAGAAAATTTAATATCTCGATTAAATCTGTTTAATATCTGTCAAATGGTTATTTTAACAGTATAATTACTTCATTAATAGCTGTCTAGGCCGTACAATCTGTAGCTTTGTAGCTCTTGGAGTTGGTTTTAATCGCAATACTGGTATACACTAAAGGATCGCATTTCAAGATGTCTTAGCTAATGCCAATAACAAATAAAGCCTCGAGTTTTTCGTCAATAGTTCTTGGCAACAAGATTTATTCGGGACGTAGAGCACGAGTACTGCCTAAAGTTCACCATCAAAACTGTTGTTACTGCTTTTAACAGTTTAAATGCGTTTGATAACTTCGACATGGCGTTCATGTCATACTTACTTTAGCTAAGAAGATAGAAAGTGACATCACTCATACAATATCCTTTAGGAAAAAAACGATTATTGTTTTCGGTGAACTGAAACGGATTTTTAGTACACTTGAAGAATACTATGTAAATATCATCAAATGTCTCCAACGACAAGTTGAGATTGTTCGATGTAATCATCTTCTTGAAACGCATTTTGTTTACTGGACATAACAAACGCATATCATTTTTAGGTTTAGCGGATAACTCGACGACTTACTGAAAAATGTCCTTCGCTACTAATTCAAAACTTGTGTCGCTTTAGATTTTCCACTCCAAAAAAATTGCCAATTTCACGGACATCAGCCGTGAAGAATACTTTGTCGGAATTGTCTTAAAATAACATTCAGGTGTCGTTCTTATAGCGTAGACATTGAAACAAACGTATAGAATTTAAAACTAGTGTCAAAAATATGTCAACGGTATAGCAAAATGCAGTCTCTTATATATGAAATGGTTTCTTACCGATCAAACTATTTTAGCCAGCAACGAATAAATAAATAATTATAATTATAACAACAGTTTATTACAAATTATTATCAGCCAGCTGTTAAAGATATGTATTATTTACTACATGTAATTATATGAGCCAACTTAATTTGATATTGTTTGAATTTACATGTTGATTGTATTACTTGCGATATGAGGACTGTTGATGTGAGCGTAGATAATGTGGGTGATCGTGTCAAGTGTAATTTAGGCTAAGGGTGGTCGACCACAAGTCGACACTAAATCAAAATTAATGTTTAATTTAATATATCAACAAAGGCGTGGATCAATTGGGAGATATTTTAGAAGATACAATTTAAAATTTAGAAAATAACACTTATTAAAGAAAAGCAACATTTTTTTGTTTAACCCTCTGTCATTTATACTATAATTCTTTTGGAATTCATTGATTGGTTAAGAAAGTTTGTTAACTCAATCGAAAAATTAAAATGATTTTATTGAATTTTCAAGTAATAAATTAATAATTTAAAAACCTAAAATAAATTAACTGAGTAGAAATTCATCAGAATAAAAATATTCATCTTTTTAAGAACAAATGTGATATTCAAAGCCCCTAATAACGTCAAAAAATATATAGCCAAGCTTTAATCAATAGAATGTAAATTTTTTAAATTAATACCTTCTCAGCTTCGCATCAAAGCTAAAAACAATTTTTAATAAATAAAAAATGCCTATTATAATTCGATAAGTGTTCAAAATATGTTCGAAAATATATTTTTTGGAATGAAGAAAAATCTAATTCAAGTATAAAGATTATATTGACCTACAGATTTATATAATAAACTATATAAACTTTATTATCTATATCTGTATATTAACCATAATTGTTTATCATTGTCTGGTAAAATTTCTATACCTATAACATAGTATATGGTTAAAATTCGTGAACACATGACGTTTCTAATGATAACGTTTTACCGTCTTATTAATGATAACTAACATAGAACGAAAAATACTCTTAATTTAAAATATCATTAAAAAATTAATTCTTTTACTGTCAGAAAAGTATTATATACTTCAAAGTATTTGATTACATAAAAATATTTAAAAAATATACGAACGTCTTTAAATGGTCATCCAATCATTACTATTAATTGATTTGTTCACTCTATAGTTATTAGAACAACTAACTAAATGTAAGTATTAGATATACTTATCTAATAAGTTTTCTTTTTACTCATCTTGGTTATAACTAGTTTATATAAATATAAATTAAAAAATCTTAAATTTTTAGAAGAGTTGATAAAAATATGTCAAACAGTGGAACACCATCTGCTGATACTTTACCAAATGTTGCTGCTCATCTACCTTCAATGTTTATGTCGTGGCGTACTAGATTACCATCTCATGTTCTAGCTATACGACCATGGTCATTAAGCGCATCAATAATTCCAACTTTATTGGGTTGTACAATCGCCCACAAATTAAATCAGAGCATTGAATTTAGTTTATTGACATTACTGTTAACACTACTTACAGTTGCCTTAGTTCACGGTGCTGGAAATGTGGTGAATACTTATTATGATTATGTAAGAGGTATTGATGGCCGTAATAGTGATGATCGAACTTTAGTGGATAGAATATTATCTGAAAATGAAGTTGAAAGATTAGGTGCTATCCTATATTTTCTAAGTTTTGTTACTTTTTTTTGGTTAGCTATAATATCTCAAGCCAAAATGGGTCATTTAGCAGCTGCATACTTGTGGGGATTAAGTGTTTCATTTTTATATACAGGAGGTTTTGGATTTAAATATATTGCTCTTGGTGATGTAATTTTTATTATATTATTTGGACCTGCATCAGTTTTATTTGCTTATTTATCCCATACAGGACAAATTAATGTTGAACCAATCTATTATGCTATACCATTAGCATTAAACACTGAAGCTATACTGCATAGTAATAATACAAGAGACTTAGAAAGTGATAGGAAAGTTGGAATTGTAACTTTAGCAATATTAATAGGTCGAACAGCTTCAATAATTTTTTATGGATTTTTATTATTTACACCATATATAATGTTAATTGTTTTTTCAATAAGATGTACTAAGTGGTTTTTTTTGCCTTTAGTAACAATAAGTTATGCATTTAAAATAGAAAGAGAATTCAGAAATAATATTAATATTCAATCTATACCTAAACGAACAGCAAAACTCAACTGCATTTTTGGTATTTTATATATATTTGCTGTAATGGCAGCTGATAAATCTAATATGCCATTTAATGTTAAGTAGAAATTATATTTATAGGTTAGATCATTAGAAAATCATGTTTCTTTTTTCTAAATGTTAATTTATTTAATTAAAAGTATGTATTCCTTAAAAGTAATGTTAATATATTATAAATTTAATTTTGATATTTAAAACTTAAAATGTACTTTATACAAATATGTAATTTATACCCGTTATTTAAATGTAAATAGGTACTTAATTTTAAATGCTTACACAATACTTATATACTTTTTCAATAATGCTTAATTAATAATTAAGTGTATGTCCATGTTTTTGGTTCTTAATGTTTGAAAGTGTAAAATAAATATGTTCCATTAATTTCATAAATGACATTATAAATAGAAACAAAATTATACATAATTATTTTTAAATATTTATTCTGCTAGAATAATTTTATTTTTAGTAAAATATCAATATGTGATAATGTTTTCTAAATCGTAGATATTTTCATAAAATTAGAACTTATATTTAAATATAATCATATTAATTCACATTAATTTTTTGTAGTTGAGCCTATAGAGACAAATGTAATTCAAATGACTTAATTATTGTTGCTTAAAAAAAATCAAAGTCTTCCTACATAAATAATTTAATAGATTTGTGTTTCTTTATTTACTCATACATAAATTTGAAAGTAACATATAAATATTGTAAATACTTGTGAACTAAACAATCATTTTTTATGTAACAAATTATTTGTTGACTAAATATAGTTAAATTGTAATACTATGATTTTTGATTATAAAATTAATGAAAATATATAAATATATATATAATACACATCAGTATTTTCATGAAAAATATGTATTATATAAGTATTTTAATTCATTTTTTATTAAATCATTTTTACTAGGTGAAACTTTGTTATCATGGTTAAATTTTAATAATTAATGACATAAAATAGTAGAATTTTTTTTTTTTTTAATGCACTTATTGTGTAAAAAAAAGTTCACATTAATAGATTGCAGATATTGAAAAATCATTTCTTAGTTTTAAACATTTTAATCTTCAATTAAAATTGAAAAACTCAACAAAAAGAAAAAAAAATGTATTCCTTCACATTAAGTAAGGCCCATAAGAAGTAAAAGGCCAAGATTTCTCCTTGTTCTATCTTTGCTGTAGGGTTTACTAAAATGAGGATATATGTTATAACTTAATTACTTTTACAAACAAACTTAGAGAAATGAGTAAAATTAGAGAATTACTATAAGTTAACTTCAAAAAATAAGAAACGCAGTGGCTAGAAGTAAGTTCCCTGTATATTCAAAGTGTAGTACATGGGTAGAATATTTTTTCGAATTCCTATAGGAAAATTTTTTAAATTATATCTAATGTAAAAATTAATTATTTTTTTTAATAAAATATGTTACTCAGTTCAAAAGAATCCAAGTTGATAACCAAAAATTTGAAATATTCAAATTCTGTATTGTAATTTTTTAAACTAATTTTTGCATTAATATGTTGATATTTAGAGTGAATCCACAAGCATTGAGGACTATATAAATTACTTGATATTGATTCATTAATAATTTTTTCAGATTACAGGTATTTAAAAAATATTTTCTCAGAGTATTCAGGAAAGTATTCTGCACAAGTATATTAAATACTACGATTACAAAAAAATATGACACAATTATAGGCTTAAGTCGGAAGCTTAATTTTCAAATAAGAAATGTTGAGTTTAAGATAAATGTTTTTGCCCAAATTACATCGTTAGCGTTCATAATTTAATTTATATAATCAATTTTTTTAAATGTTACAAGTTGTACGGCTCAAAAACTGTTTATTGTATTAAACACAATTTTAAGTTATAATTACTTAAATGATTTAATTACAAAAAAACTTGTCAATAATAACTCTTGATTCAATAATTCAGAAGTTATTAATTTGTTTATACTCTGGCCGACAGAGTGTGAACGTTGGAAATATGGGAGAAATGTCTTGTGATAAAATAGCAGCAACCGCGTCTCAAACCCAGTTATTGTTTTTAATTGTTAATAATTCTGAAATACAGTTGTTATCGACCAGTCATTTTCTTAATTAAATAATTATCTAATAAATAAGTCATTTAATTATGTATGTTGTTATTTGAATAAATAAATTTGACACCCTCAAAAAGTAAAAAGGATGAACGTAAAAAATACTTCAAGATCGATGAATTATGAAAACTATGGAACAATAATTAAATTACCAATATTTATTTTTATGATTTGATAAATCAAAAGATTCAAGAGAATAGAATTATTCGGTATATAATATATACTGACTGAGAAGCTATTAATTTCATCTGCTGTTTTAGCTTCGATGCGAAGCGGAGAAGGTATTAATTTTACTATGATGTGTTTTTTTTTTTTTTTTTTTTTTTTTGTCTGTTGCCACTTTTTCTCAGCTCTCACAGGACCGATTTGTTTCAAAAATACGTCAAAAGATCACAAATCGTATCTAGTTGAAGACATTACCCTTAAAAATTGAAAAAAATTCTCTCGTTCCCCGCAAATGGGGGAAATATCCAAAAAAATTACAAATTTAAAAATCGCTAATTTTCGAAATTTTTTCACTTTTTTTTCTTAAAACTTCCATAACTTTTTGAAAAATCAACAAATCAACATAATTTTTTTTTATACTAAAACCTTAGATATTTACCTTTCATTTGATATCATTTTTTTGAAAATCTATCACTTAACCTGCTCATTGGGGGGGATTTAAAATGGCAACTTTTTTACAAAAATTAATTTTTTCAACTTAATTTTTGAAAATGTTCCGGAAAGACTGCGTCCTTTAAACATATATCAAATTAAAGCTTATTTTATGTACTACAAAATGAAAAAAAAAAATTTGTCCCGACACTTTTTTTTCTACATTTAAACGGCTGCCGTAGTTAAAAAAACACTATTTTTGTGTTAAAATTTTCGATTTTCGATTTTAAATTTTCAACTTAAAAATGCTATAACTTTTTGAAAAATGTATATATCAGCACAAATTTTTTTTTTCTAAATACATTATAAGTACATCTTTCATTTGACATACTTTTTATTAAAATTGGACAATTTCCCCTTATATAGGGGGCGTTCAAAACTTAAAATATTGTAAAAAACATAGATCTTTTTCAACTGAACTTTTGAAAATGTTCCGGAAATACTGCGTCCTTTAAACATATATAAAATTAAAGCTTATTTTACGTACTACAAAATGAAAAAAAAAATTTGTCCCTACGACCTATCTTCTATACGCAAATGACTGCCGTATTCAAAAATATGCTATTTTTGTATTAAAATTATGGGTTTTGTATTTTATTTTAATAGAAGTTGATGTTGATTTTGCAATTATTCATCAATTTTTTAAAATTAAATACTATCTACAGATTTGCATCGAAGCGTTTCTTATGATAGTGATTTTAATCACTGTCAGATTAAATCTATACTGGAT